TCGATTTAGTTGTTCTTTGACTGAAGGATTACACTAGCACTTATGTTAAGTGTTGAACAGGACCGCGGAAGGCAAAGGTTATGAGACTCACTGACCGTTGTTGTAACCTCGCCATTCAGTGATTGATGCGTTCTCTTAAGCTGTAATATAATATAAAATATGCATATATTTTATCTCTTATTTATTTGATTTACCAAGTGATTTCTATTCTGTTAGGATGATATACGAGGTATTTTGGTAAGTAAGAATAATTATATGATGTGCTATTATAGATTATTTACAATCACTATGTTCCAGTGCGCTGGATTGATGACGTCCCCAAAATGAGCTCAGGAAGGAACATTATGTTAAACCCTGCAGGTAGACGATTGTCTGAAATAATGGTTAAAGTCTGAGTGGTACTAATTTCGGAAATGAATAAGAAGTTGATTAATTATTTTGTCAGTAATTTAAATAATCAACGGACGTTATATCTTAAACATAGGGAGGTAAATCGATCAATCAGATTAATATTATTTAATCATGGAGGCTCGATTTTATTGGTAAAATAGTGGCTAAATGGGAGAGCAATAATATTACTCTAGTGGGATGTTTTATTATTTAATTCCATTAAATAGGAATTAATTTTATTCCATATTAATTAATTAATTAGGAGAATAAAATTCCTACTAGAATCTTCTCTTGGGATTAGGAGACTTGGGAGACTTCTAGAAGATGACGATTAGTACGAAATATATTTCCTACATTATATTATTAATTGGAGTAAAATTATGCTTCCTAAATTAGGAATTAATTTTATTCCATGGTTATTAATTTAAATTAGGAAAGATATTCCTACAAGGATCTTCTTTATTGTTAGGAGACTTAGGAGTCTTCTAGAATGAGAGGATTAGTAAGAAATTTCCTTCCTACATTAAATTAGTATTGGAGTAGAATTAGGATTCCTAGGCCTAATGAAATAAGCCCATATTTAGCACCTCCTTAAGGTCCCTAATGGAGCCTATAAATACACCATGTCCCAACCTCTCCTACAGTGTTGTCTTGGCCGATTTTCTCTACTACATACGCGAGAGAATTACATCATTCGAGAGTTAGGGAGATTCGATTAAACGCTCCACCAAGTTTAATCGAAGTAGGTGCTTAGGTAATCCATTAGAAGCTTTTTGGTACAATTAATTGAGCTTTCTAAAAGACATAAATTTCGGTCATCTTCATCACATCATCACCGCCGCCCATCGCCGCCGTGATCCGTCGCCGGAAAATCGCATCGCCGCCGGAAGGTCCGCCGCGCATGCCCGAGCGCTGCCGCACCACATCGCGAGCGACGCCCCACGTCCCAGCTACGCCCAACGACGCTTGACCATCGCGCACGACGCCT